AAATAGATTATTTGCAATAACCGGAAACGGTAATCATTTTTTTAATGAAAATAATTTTTGTCGGCTGATTTTATGGGACCTGGACTGTGTCTCGGGTTCATAAAAAAGCAGAAGAAGAACGCGGCCAATATCTAGCTTTCTTGACTCCACACTTGTTTTAATAACGCATATAAAGTGCAGTGTCACTTCTTACTGCTGTCGATGATTAGTTTTTCGTAACTTAATTGAACAGAACACGTTCATGTGTTTAATATTAATACGTTCAACTGGTGGAGGCCGAAGGAAATCAAAACAAAAAAACCTTTTTGGATTGACTTATCCTTCTAAGGTGTAAATTGAGGTATTAATTTGACTGAAAATCCATATACAACTTAATCTTAGCATTGTTAACTGTGTTGATAGGTACTTAATCTGTGTGCAGCAATTGGCACCTACATTCACCTCAGAATGAATCCAAAGTTCTGGTTGCCAACCATGTTTCTGATGTCCCGGATTGGTGTACTCAACGCTAACAACCAGTGTTGTGTAACGGAAAGCTCCATTGGCGGAATGTACCTGAAAGGTCACGTGTTTAAAATGTATCGCGATCAGTTGCCTGAAGAGTGTTATTTCCGGTGTGAAGAAGAAGTCACATGTCAGAGTTACAATGTCGTCATTGGTCAAAAAATCTGTGAACTGAATAATCGTACAAAGGAAGCAAGACCGGAAGATTTTATGCCGGATCAGAGGAGATTTTACATGAAGCGTTCTAGAAACAGAGGTACAATTTACGTTCCCTCGATCAGCAATTTGCATCTGCGTTCCTGGGCAAACTTGTTTTTTGAATTTTTCATTCACGATTAAAGAAAACTAAAATATCAGAGAAACAAAATTTCTATATTTAGATATATTCCTATGGCGACCCTTTTGATGATTCAATTTCTGGGATTGTTTCAATATTGGTAAAGTATTTCAAAATACAGAGAAAAGTCAAAATTAAAGAAACGACGTTTTGGAATCATCGTCTCATCAACGTCATCGTGGGAAGATAATATTTGACTGAATTATGAAGTCAAGCAATTCTTTTCCTTTGTCACCTTGAAAATTGTTTAACGATGATACCAAAATTTTGGTTTGTTTCGCTGCGTTATTGTTGCTGTCTTCCATCTCATTTCTTAGTCTAGATCTGATAGAATTAGCAAGTTTTTATTTCTTTCTGCTTTTACGCAGGCAGGAAAGGTAGGAAGTTTTTTTCCTCTCCCGTCGCATCAGGAGGTATCGAACTGCATGATGGTGTAGATTCTTGCATGAAATCTGTTTTTTCTGACGTAGTTCCCCTCGGATCCATCAAAGAACTTCCGGCGAAAACCTGTGGTGAGATTGAAGCGAGTGAAGGGAACCAGATGGCTGACGGGAAATACTGGATTTATTCTGAAGAGAATAGCGAGGTCTTCGAAGCTTATTGTAAAGGTAAATTGTTTAACTAAATTACTTATTCATTATCCTCCTTGACGTGTTCTCCTAAACCGACTTGTTTTTTTAAACCTACCAAAATAACATCTCCTCGCAGTGAGAAAAAGGGAATTATAGTAAAAAGAGGGGTTTGTTTTCAGTGATTCCAATAGAACTATAAACTCCGAGGAGAAGATAAGTCAATGACATGAATTGTTCTTTCCCTTATACAAATTAAATTGTTTTCATGGCATATGGGAATAGATTGAAGGAACTGTTCAGATCATGACGCCGAGAAGGACAATGTTTTAACTTTTTTATCACTGGAATTTAACCTGCAAATGGCTGTTAGTTACCATTCGAAATGCATTGGCTGACTAGCTATTTTTTTTATTAATACAGTTGAATCAACTTTCAAAACTATCTACCTATCCTATTGCTATATCTTAGAGAGCTGGCAAAAGATAAATGGTGAAAAAGCCATCTGTTTTGGAGCAAAAGATAATCAGTATGGTTCCTTCAACATGACAAAGAGTGGACGAATGAAGACAATGAAGCTTATTTACAGGTCAGGGTCGGTGCGTTGCAACGATAAAACTATTTCATCCTACTGGGGCTGCACCAACGCAGTATATGGAGAAAATTTGATGACAATCATCACGGATGCCAATAAGAAGGCCATTCTGCCCCCTGCCGAAGACTTGAAAGGTCATTCTGGTATCAAAGAACACTTTTACAGTCTTCCTGGATATCACCATAATTCAACTGAACTGGTTTTTCGCAACCTCGTCAATCCTTTGTCTGTCTCGAGCTACCAAGAGATGCAGATATGGTACGGACAGGATTGGATTGACGGCGGAGAGGAAGACAACAGCGGTAAAACTTGTGTTGATGTGTACGCATGGTATGAGTGAGTTTGCCAACTGGAGATCTTGCCTTCGACAGCTCTAAAACGTAGAAGAAAAACATTAGATTACAAAAGT